CACGCGAAACACTCGTAAAAGAGGCAAAGATTTTTGCATTGATGGGCTATATAAAGGAACTGGAGTATTGCTTTTATGAGGTCCATGACAAGGGAAATATGGAGTTTATGGTGATATTTTTAATTTGTTATTTTTTATTTACTTATGTTTTATATTATTTATTTTAGGCGACAGCAGAGCAACGATTTAAAGTCTACAAAGACCTCAAGAATCGTATATTAAATGAATTTAAAGAGTATCAATAAAATACAAAATTTACTTTCATAATTTATATTTATTAAATACAATACATTACGTATAAATGAATTACTATATTACTGTATTCGTACTATTATTTGAAAACTAAATAATGTAATATGATAGTATGTTTCATTATTATCAAATTATATTAGTAATAACTTAATTAACGTGTTAATATTTATAAAATTCGATATTTTACTAAAAAAGTAATGTCATACAATAATTATCATACATTATTAATGACAATTATTAATAATTGTCATACATTAATTTTTATTATCTTTTTAAAATAACAATATTATCATTAAAGGGATGGGAGATATGGTACATGTCATGTCATTTTTTCTGTCATGCACTTGATTACGATATACCCAACCGTATCTTATATTTTGTGTACAGTGGCACCAGTAGCTTTACGTTTCATAATTTATAAACACGTATTACAAACACAATTAATCAGTCAGCTACTTCAATTCCTTAAAGTTTATATTGATAATATATTATATTATTTTTAATCCCGTACTTTGTGTACTGAAAATGATTTATCAAAGGTTAAATGGATTAACAATTAAACAAACTTAATAAATTTAATAAAAGATAATACAAAATTAATATATTAGCCAAGGTAGTTAAAATTCTAATATTCTAATACAATAATTAAATTAAATGTATTAATGTTTATCATTGATAACGTTTTCAACGGAAACCTATTTTCAAAATTATTTATTTCAACAAACTTTATGTTTTAAAATATTATATCATTATTTACTTCAATTTAATAGTATTAATCAATGAATTTGCCAAGGACTCCTTGGTCATTGAATAAAATATTATGTAATATAAGTATTTCAATTTAATTGAGATATTATAAGAATGACATTTAATTAAGTACAAAAACTTGATATAAAAATCAATTGGTGTTGTCAATATTTATTATTTATTATAACAATATATAATTTATTTGTTGAATAAAAATATTAAGATGGAACATAAAACTAATCCTGATGAGTTTTACGACAAACGTCCTGAGAATAAAAATTGGAAAAATAATGTTTTAAAA